AGCAGGGAGGTGGTCTCCACTGGACCCCATATGGCTCTGCATGGAAGTAGCCAGTCACTGGGGGTGGGAGCAAGGTGGAGTGTCCCTGACCAGACAGCTTCTGCTTCTGTAAGGGTGGGGATGCCCTGCAGAAGAGGCTGCTGGGATTCTGAGCAGCCCAGGCTTTCCCATGAGAGAGCCTTGGCAGCTCCTAATCGGGTCTCAGTTCACTCAGCTCAGCCCACAACTGCCAATTACTGCTGTGTGACCTCAGACATGTCAGTGAACCCCTCTGAGCTCCATTGTTCTCATTGAGAAACATGGGAATTATTCCTACAAGCAGGATATTACAGAACATCCTGGCTTTCACAAACACTATTTATTGACACAGTGTCCAGAACTTTGAGCTTGGCTCCCAGTGGTATTTTACTAGCATAAGGTTGTTTCTGTAGGAATACTGATCACCCTTTTCTCCCTCCAGCATCCCAACTCTCAGTGAAGCAGCACCGGCCTGTGTCTCCAGCCAGGAACAGAGCACCTCAGGCCTGACATAGACCCCGGTCCAGACCCTGGACTCTGACCCTGAACCTGACCTCTCTGTTCTATCCTGAAACTTGACCCCTGGGAACCACCTCAGCCTACTTGGTAACCTTTCTCCTTCTACTCCAGACATCCTGGCTACGCCCAAAGGATCTTCCCCACCCCCAACTACATCCCCTGGCCTGCCCCCTGCCCCCTCTACACTGCCAGTCTGGAGGTTGCCACTGGGGCTTCTCCTGTCCTGAAGCCATCTGGGGTCAGCTCGTGGCCTGACTTCCTACTTAGCCTCTCCCCAACAGAGCCAGAGGCAGAACAAGAGGTGCTCAGTGGCAAGACTGGGCAGAGCAGGACAGAGTCCCCAGAGCCCTCCCTTCAAACACTGCTCTGATCTCTATAGGACAAGGGGACTTCAGGGAAGGTTCCTGCCTCAGCCTATCTCCTCATGTAAATGCAGGCAGACGGTGGATGGGAGGACGGGGGTTCTCTGCAGATCAGGAGGATGGGACAAGGAGATAGCTTGTCCTCAGAGGGCTGGACCATGAGGAGACACAAATCGGGCTTGAGTGCAAGGTTTGAGGGTCCTGGGTTCTGAGGGCTAGGGGCGGTCCTGGTGGCCCTGCCTGGAAACAGACTGGGATAATACTACATCTGGATAGAAGAGAGTGGACACTACCATCCAAGTCCAAGTTCAGATGGGGAGCTCAGAAGGGTGGCAACTCCTGTCCACTGCATGGCACCCCCCGAGACTGATAGTGGAGGGACCTGACCTCATGCCCAGATGGGACCCCGGGGGGCTCAGGAATCTCTCCTAGGCCTCGCCACCCTCATGGTCACCATGCAGGTCGCCACTGCCACCCACTCTGGCCTCCAGAGCAGTTTCTCCCCTTCGCGGCTTTGCCTTAAAGTGAACCCAAGAGCTACTCCTGCTGGGCTGGAATATTGAACAGTCTTCAGGTAGTGCTCAGGGTGGTCAAGGGTCTTCTGAGGCTGGACAGTTTGGTTCCTCACCTGCAGCGCACCGGGAGGTCACACCTGTGCAAGAATGAATTCAAGTTAAGAAAATATCCGCTCCCCAACTCCTCAGTGGGAAGCAGAGGACCCTCCCCTGCCCCACCTTCTTGGGAATCCCTGTTAAATGTTGAATTTGGTAGACTAATCATTAAGCACAACCACTGTTAGCAAGAAATTGTGTGAATTTATACTGAAATAAATCACCTTAAAATTCAAAATAATAAAGACTCCAACTTCATCACTTCCTGGTAATTTTACCACATTTCACCACTATTCCTGGAAGTTGGTTATATCTGTTTGGTGGAACTGTATGTGGAACTGTGGGAGCAGGCGCTGCCCAAGTCTCCCAGTCCCAGTAACACAGGTGAGGCCATGTGGGCAGCTTGAAATCAGCAAAACCCTGGAGGCAGAGCTTGACTGTTTTGCTGATTGTCTAGACTTTAGCGAAAGTGATGGAGGTTATGTCATACAGGAGATTAAAGGTACACACTTGCTGTGTCTTTAGGAGGTTCATTCTTCAAACATTGAAGAATGATTCCTCAGAACCTTGAAACTGTTACCTAATTCAGGAAAGGTGTTGTCAGGTCAGTGATATATTGATGAGTGAGGGATGTCCCAGCACACACGGTTAACATAAAAGGAAATACCCACCAGAACATTACCCTAACTTGCCAATGAAGCCAGTAACTTCTTTGCTGAGCCAATTTGTGATGGAGTTTCTTCCAGGTGATTGTGTCAGAACCTAGGAGATTGGTGGCTACCAGTTGGCTGAGAGAATGAGAGTATAGCATAAGCCAGCCAAAGCATGTGTAAAGTCAATTGACAGTTTGGATGTTCTGTAAATTGGGTACTAGGTAGCCTTTCCATCCAGCTATCCTTTCGATCCTCAAAGGACTGGTTGCAAGACCCTTGGAGGATACACCTGGAGGATACCAGAATCTAAGAATGTTCAAGTCCTTGAAATAAAATGGTGCGGTATTATATAACGCATGAAAATCCTCCCATGTTCTTTAAATCACTTCTAGATTGGCTGTAAAACCTAATAAAATAGAAATACCATATAAATTATTGTTAAACTGTGCCATCTTTATTTGTATTATTTTTAATACTATATTATTGCTTTGTATTGTTTATTCCTGATAATTTTTCATCTGAGATTGCTTGAATCTGAGGAGGGAGAAACCGGGAATAGGAGGGTCCACTGTATTACAGCATATCAAGACATTCCCCTTACCTGCAGGAGATGGACTCCAAGATCCCCAAGTCAATGCCTGAAACCAAGGGTAGTACCAACCCTACATATGCTATGGTTTCCTTATACATACATACTTATGACACATATTAATTTATAAATTAAGCAGAGTAAGAGACCAATAACAGCTAATAATAAAATAAACACTTGTCACAATACGGTGTTCACAATTTCACCGCTAGAAATTTCCTTCAATTGTAGATCTGAACCTCAGCATACAATGGTTGTTTTTTCCTTATTAAGTGGGGAACTCCCCCATTTTCACTGAAAGGATGCATTTCATTCTTTCTTTTTTTTTGAGTTGGAGTCTCACTCTGTCGCTCAGGCTGAAGTGCTGTAGCGCACTCTTGGCCACCCCAGTGTCGACCTGCTGTGTTCCGGCGATCCTTCCACCTCAGCCTTCCAAGTAGCCGGAACTACAGGTGTGAGCTACCATGCCCGGCTAAATTTTTATTTATTGTAGAAACAAGATCTCACCAAGTTGCCCAGGCTGGTCTCAAACCCATGGGCTCAGGCAATCCACTCACCTTGGCCTCTAAAGTGCTGAGATTGCAGGATGAGCCACTGAGCCCGGATGAAAGGAAGCATTTTTACCACTCTTTGGTGTATCTGAGTTGCAAGCATCACTCCTCTTGTGCTTTGGGGCCATGGTTAAGTGAAAGAAGAGTCCTTGAACACAAATTCTTTGCAGCCTGATGGATCTGATTACAGAGGTTTTCCAAGTAATCAGGTTCAGGGAATGTGCGCAGCCTGGACACCTATACAGAGGGATGATTCCCACCTGGCAGGACAGAGCGAGACCACCCAGCATTCCATGAAGCACTCACAATGGATTGCAATTTAGAACTTACGAATTGTCTATTTCTGGAGTTTTTCATGAAATATTTTTGAGTCGAGGTTGATGATGTAACTGAAACCACATAATCAAACTGCAGGTAAGGGGGCCCCACCGTAAGACACATGGTTGAGAACTTGCAGTTGAACATGTAGCAGCACATCACTACTGCCTCTGAATCTGGATCAGCCCCTGGAGCCCACACTCAAAGCACAAACACTTGCTGGGATGTCCTCCCTTCCAGGGGGCAACCCAGCACCTGCATCACTGCTGCCAAGCCAGCTCTTCTGCCCAGAAGTCACATGGTTGGTACCTCAGGTGTCCATCACCTGAGCACCCCAGGTCTGGGCCCATCCCACTGCTGTCAGGGCATTGCTCTGGGACACAGTGTACCCACCCCTTAGGGATACCAGCAGGGAGGGTATAGCTGAGCTCATCAGAGTCAGGCAGGCTGAGAACCTCTGGGCTGGCCTGAGTTCTGACCTCATCCTGGGGTTCAGCACCTCGAGACTTCCTAGTTTCTCTTCCTGCTCCTCCCTTCATGGACCTGGTGAAGAGGGCATCGGCCTTAAAATGTTTCTGACCACAGGTGGAGCCTGGACAGCCACTTTCTGCTCCAAAGGTCCAGGGAACTCTAGAGCCATCAGCTACGTGTTGCCCCTTGTTCTCTTTTGATTTGAAAACCACCTCCCCTTCGTTTCCACAGCCTGTGTGCACCTTGAACCCCCATTACTCACACTCTGCCCTCTGACCCCCTCTCTGTAGCCCTGGCAACCAGGTTTCTCAAAGGGGACGGTGTCTGATGTTCTTGGCTCCTCGTTGGAGCTAGTCCCTGGGCTTCAACTCACCCAGCTCCCTTGAGAACAGCCTCCTGATGGGAAGTAGGGAGTATCCTCCTCCTCCCCACACACCTGGGCACGCAGCCCCAGGGAAGACGCTGGGTCCTGTGAACCAGGGGCAGTGTCAGCCCACTGGCCCCTTAGGGGTCAGCCCTACAAGCAGGGCTCACTCCAGGTCACTGACCTTTCCAGCTTTGGGATGAAATTCTAATTGGAGTGTGATTTCAAAATCGACCTTGGGGCATCTGTTTGCAAGCCCTGTGGAATTCAGAGCCCAGAGCTGGATCTTTAAGGGGTAGGCCTTCCTTTCCTGCTGAGATGCCTGAGGGACAAGGGGAAGGAGAAGTAGGGGAGAATGGAGGGGAGGAAAGAGGATGAATGATGGGTGGGGCGAGGGGAGGGACAAAGAAAAGAGAGGGAGGGAGGTTTAAGGGGAGGGGCAGGAGAGGAAGGAAGGGAGGGACTAAGGGAAGGAAGAAGGGGCGGGGCTAGAGAACATGGAAGGGAGGGCAGAGTGGAGAGCCAGCCCTGCCTCTCCAGCAGTCTTGCCCAGAGCCAGCAGCAGCAGTAGCAGCTGCCTACCCCAGAGTGTCCTCAGCTGTGAGCAGTCTTGTCTGCCTGTCCCTTGTCAGTTCTGATCGCAAGATGATCTACCAGGTGGTGGTGCACGGTGTCATGGGCAGGGACATAGTGGTGGATGTGGCCTATTCTGAAGGGGAATTCCAGAAAACGACAGTGAGTGAGTTGATGAAGTTGGTGGCCTCTACTGTGCTCAAGTCAGGTGAGCAAGAGGTGGGTTTGGCTCTGGGTAGTGAGTCCTGGGAGAATCCCGGGTCTCCCCCAAAGCTGAGGATGGGATAGGACTGACTGAGTCCCTAGCCAGGGTTTGGGTTGAACATGAGGTCTGGGGCCTGTTCCTCTTCCGGGCTTCTAGTGTCTGGTCTGTGGCAGGGCAGGGGTGGGACTCCCTGACTCCTGTCTGAATCTCTGTCTCCTGCTTTCTGGAGTCAGGGGTTGGGAGTTGAGCAGTAACTGGCCCTCTTTGGGGTCCCTGCTAGGCAGGATGTGGCTCCATCCTTACATCCTGGGCTCCTCCAGCACAGAAGTTCCTGTGACATCTGCTGAGATGCCCAAAAGAAGGGCCTGGTGGGCACAGACTCCAAAAAGACTGTGACCCCCGTCTCTCTCTTGGAAAACATGCTCTGACTCCTCACCCCCAGTCAGTGCTCACAGCTCTTCAGGAGCCAGGCGCTAGCTGATACAACCCCTTTCTGCCCCAGATACCACAGATTTCAAACTGATGTTCGCCACGTTCCAGCTAGACCCAGCAAAGACACTTTCGGACTATCAGATCAAGAACAAGTCCACCCTCACCATGGTGATGCAGCTTCCCGGTGGAAACTGAGGTCATGACACACCCTGGGAACACATTGGCCATCCCAGGGAAGGGACTCCTGACTGTGAAACCCCCTCAGTCCTCCTGACTGTGAAACCCCCTCAGTCCTCCTGGGTAGGCTCCATCCTGTGCAGACAGGAGTGGAACAATAAATGATTCTGAATCATAACCTTGCTTGAGCTTCTTCCTCTGACGGAGAGGGAAGAACTCTGTTCTAGCAGGGGAGGGTCTCCTGCCCAGGGCCTTCTAGCAGGCAGCCTGCTTGACCTGGTTTTGAGGGCACCCCAAGGCTGCTCACCAGCACCCCCACACTGACACCACAAAATGGGCCCACAACATCCCAGCTCATTCTTTGGTGGGTGGTTACTGACTCAGGGTACCTGAATATCTGGTCCTCAAAGTCAGGGAGGGGACAAAAAGACCAGAGACTTCCTGTCCAACCCCACAGGGTGCCCCTCGACCCCACACCCATCCCTCCCTGCCTAGGAGGGGCTGGTCTTCCCTGGGGCACTGCAGGGAGATGAACAGAAATGAGTGGGGTCCCCAGCAATGTTTCACGCACCCTCCTGAAACCTCACTCCATTAGAAAGCAGCACCCAGGGCTTCTTCCCCCACCATCCTGTGTCCTGTGCACTTCTCAGAAGCAGGAGCCCTCTGTGATGCTTCCTGCTCTTGTCTGCTGGGTGTGGGGTGGGAGGTCCCAGCCAGGTACAGCAGGATGTGGGACCATCATGCCCTGTGACTGTATGGCTGTGAGCTGGCACCTCCTGGGCCCTGTGTCACCTACACATGGGGACCCAGTACCTAGTTCCCACAGGCCTCCTCTACAGGTGACATTAGACACCAGCCCCTTTCTCAGAAAAGTTGTTTTCTTCCCAATCTGAAAGCACAGGGTGAAACAGGAGGGGCTCAGAGCTCTCTCTAGTCCCTTCTGGGAGGAAATGTGAGCCAAGAATCCCAATTTCAGGCAGGTGTGGAAATAGACCACTCAGGCAGTCCTGGATCGGGCTTGGTCAGAGTCTGAGCTAAGAGCCAGGATGAGGCTGACTGGGATGGATGACTAGGTCCATATAAAGAGTTTTCTCCTCACCCCCAGTGATCTGGAGGATGAGGAAGTCCCTGGAGATGGCCCTGGGTGAACATCCTATGGAAAGGAGGCCTATTCTTACCAATACTGAGGGATTATTCCTGGGATGGGACCTCTGACTTTCAGGATCCCAGGGGGTTTTGAAGGTGCAGGGTGGCCTCTGGCCCCGGATTCCATTGACCCCTCAAACATTCTCCTCCCTGCTGGGAACTCCCCTACCATAGAAATCAGACAAAGGCCAACTTCCTCCCACACCTTCTTAAGTCCCACCCAGAACCTGTCTGCACCCTGTGACTGTGCCGCCCTCCCTGGAGCTCTGTCGGGTTCTGGGCTGAGGGTCTCAGGGAGGAGTGCCAGCTCAAGGCAAGAGTGAGGCTGTGGCACTGTCAAGCTCACTTGTCCTGGATGGGGGTGCACACATCGAGGACAGGAATCACTCCTCAGAGAACCCTCAGGTGCCGCCTCAGGCCTAGCCTTGGGTTCTCACTGCAGGCTAGTCTGTACAGGTCTGCTGAGACTCAGGCCATGAGGGTGGGGGGGAATTTCCATTGGACTTCCCCTAACACCAACCCGTGTGACTGCAACTGGAAGTCAGGCTGACAGGCACTGGGCTTAAAGCCTTTGGACTCCGCCCTTCTACTGAGCGGGGGTGGGGCAGGGACATGAGAGGCCCAGGACATTCAGTACATTCCACAGAGCCCATGGGATGTGAGGCTGTGGGGGCCTTATGGGCTGTCTGTAAACCGAGGAGGTGCTACTGACTGCTCTGTCACAGCACTGTGGAGCTGAAGGGCTTTGGGCATGGGACAGAGGTGGGGAGCTCTGTCCAGGTCCTTTGAGGTGCTCTGTGGGCTGTGCAGGCTCTTTTCCTGGGTTGAGGGGGTTCTGAGCAGGCGATGATGACTGAGAGTGGCTGGCACTGCCTCCACCCCATGCAACCTGTGTCCAGTCCCCCTGTCCCACCACCAGCCCTGGGAAGAGCCAAGACAGTCTGTAGCTGGGGCAGCAGGGTCTCAGGGCCTAGGATTTGGAGCCAACCCGGGCAACACAATCTGCAAAACCCAAGAGTCTCCAATAATCCTGTGTCTACTACACTTCTAGTGCCAAGGGACAGGCAGGCACCTCCCACAGCCTCTGACCAGGGCTCTGTGTAGCTGCCCACTCACATGCCTATGTCCAGCCACCACCACCATGGGTCCTGACCTGGCCCTGGGGCAGTATGGACAGCAAAGTAGTTGGCCCTAGTTCCTTCAAAGGTAAAATTTATCCATGAGAGAGAAATTTGGGGAATTTCTTGAAGTAGAAGAGAGAGGTTTCCATTAGGACTGCCCATTGCTAAGGAGTAGCAGAGCCAGGATGAAACCTCCCAACAGCTGGGCACTCTTGTACCCCTAACGGTAAAGTAAGGGTCCAGGGTAGAAGGGCTGCCTCCTGTGCGAGCAGTGGGCTGACCTCACTCCAAAGTCTCCAGAAATTCCACGTGATCCCCAGAACATTGAGCTGAGGACACAGGGGGGAAGAGGGAAGGAAGGCCTCATGGGACCAGCTGGGGGCATGGGAACTCTCCTGTCACATTGATGGGCAGGAAGAGGGTCCCCTCAGGTGTCCCTGGAGATTCTGGGACAAGCCCTCTTCCCCTGTGTGGGGTGACATTGCAGTTGATTCCTGGATGTGCACATCCCTCCCTTCCTACTCTAGGACCCTGCAAGGAGCACAGGCTCTACAGGCCTTGGGCGGGTCTTTCACAAGGGCTCCAGGCCGAGGCCCCAGATTCCATGGGTCCTGACTCCCCCTACCTGAGAAAGGCTGGAGAAGGATTCCCACACTGGGAATGGGGTCACATGTTGCATAAACTCCAGATATGTTCAGCTTCACGCCTCAGTTTCCCTTCTCTAAAACGAGAGAACTGTCTAGACCTGACACTCTCAGCCCTGTGGCAAAGTGTTGGGATAGGTGTGAAGAAGGGGTGCAGGCACTGTTGTCCCCAAGATCCAATGAGAGCCTCTGTTGTCTGGGGTGGGGTCAAGTCTGGGTGCCCACACGGCAGCCCTCATGGAGCCGAGACCTGTAGCAGAGACCTGTAGCAGAAACCAGGATTAAGGACCTGTGAGCAAGATCACAGAAATGGACACAAACAGTCATTTCCAAGATAGGCCAACAGGAGAGAATAGTAATACCCAGCAGTGGCCAGTGGATGAATCAAGGACTCATTATGCAGTGGAACACTGGGAGGCTGTGGGCAATTGCTACCTAGTGGGTATACTTGAAGAGTAGAAACTTGTTGCAACAAATTCACACTGTGACTCTATTGTGCATCTCAGGGAACACAAACACCCTGAAGGGTACTGCTGGGTTTTAGGACCTCCTGCAGCCCTTGGGGAAGGGGAGGCATCTGAGGGGTCCGGTGAGACCAAGAGGCTTGCACATTTTGATGATGACTTATAAAGTTAAGCATTCACCTACCCTGTGACCCAAGAGAGTTGAAGTATTTGCCCAAAATAAATAAACGCAGATGTCTACAAAGAGATTATACAAAATGCAAATGGAGGCTTCATTCATAATTGTCAAGAAGCAAAATCAAGTCGGGCACAGTGGTTCATGCCTGTAATCCCAGCAATTTGGGAGGTGGAGGTGAGAGGATTACCTGAGCTCAGGGGTTCGAGACCAGCCTGAACAACATGATGAGACCTCATCTCTCAAATAAATTAAAAAAAAAAATCAGCCAGTCTTGGTGGTACATGCCTGTGGTTTCAGTTACTTGGAAGGCAGATGCAGAAGGATTGCCTGAGCCCAGCAGATCAAGGGTGCGGTGGTTGTGAGCGTGCCACTGCACTCCAATCTAGGTGACAGAGTGAGACTCTTACTCGAAAGAAAAAAAGGGCAAAATTAACCCAAATGGTCATCATCAGATAAATGGCCAAACTGTGGCTCATCTCAAAATGGAATTCAGTCAGCAATAAAGGGAACAAAACTGAAACACAAAACAACATCAGTGCTCATGGACAGGACCCTACGTGAAAACAGCCAAACTTGAAGCAACACTTAAATGTGATTCCTTTTAGATGCAATTTTAGGAGAGAAAACTTGAACCTATGATCACATAAACCAGAAAAGTGGGGACCCCCTATTTTGGAACAGGAAAAAGTGTAGACTGGCAAGGAACATGAGGGAGGTTCCAGGATGAGGAAGATGTTCCGGTACTTGTGGTGTTGGTCACATGGGGTTGGGCAGTTGTCAAAAGGAAATTCACCCCTAAGTTGTGTGTGTTTCACATTGTTGACATATTCTTGGTACAAGACCATTTGATTTATCTAGAAATAAACAAGGTCTGTGAATAATGACCTCTAGTTCATGGGTTTGCTTGTTCACAGAGGTGAAAGCTGTGAATTCTGAACCTCCCTGCTGTGTGTTCCTGTTTCGGTAAATACAGATCCGGGGAACCTAAGGGGCCAGGTTTCCAGGAAGGCAGGAGATGGATTTACAGCTACAAAGGAGGAATCCAGTGTCTCCAGGGGTGTGGGGACCGACTCTGAAGAATGAATCTGAACTCCTTCTCAACATGATCCCTCCAGAGAAACCTGGTTTTTCCTTGCCGGGTCTCCAGGTCAGCTTCCAGAAAGTTAGACAACTTCCAGAAAGTTCTCTTGAACCTCTTAATGGGTGGGATCCATATACAGGAAACAGGAACCCACAGCCCTAGTAGAGTCTGAGTTTCTCTGCCTACAAGGGGGAAGCCAGTGGGCAGGGGGAAGGGAGGCTCAGGTCAGGCTTTCTGTGGAGACACAGATCCTTTAATCCTCCCCTCCTTCCTCTAGGGGCCCAGATATCCTCCCCAACTCTAGCAACATTCTGATGCTCAAAATACTGTTTGGCAAAACTGAAATAAAGCTGCCCCTTGGTCTGCGTACCGCTGACTCCCCAGGAAAGGGCAGGTTCCTTTCCTCCTGGGTCTGGGTCTCCTCACTATTCAAGAGGACACTGGGTGGGACAGACCTGGCTTTGGAAACCTAAAAACAAAACTCTCTGTAAGGGAGGGGGGAGCAGAGGGCAGAAGATGAAATGCCCTCTGGGCATGGCTGAAC